AAACATAAAACCATGTCTGCATTTGTGATCAGAGAAACAACAAACGCTACTCTACATTGCTCAAAACTCGCATTTCAGTCATCAGTGGCAAATTCTTTAATATAAAAAACGTACTTACAGGCTGTGAGTCAGAAGCGCCAGCCTGTCCTTGCAGCAAAGTTGGAACTGCCCTACTTTATAGAAACAGACACCGGCATTGAATTGAAATCGCATCATATGACCCCTTTAAAACTTAAAAATTATGTATTTCCATGGATCTGACTTGGTAAAGCAAGTTGTCAATTAGGCCCAGCTGCATCTCTGTACCTGTAGTAAAGTAAAGTTTTCCAAAATAAAAATAAAGTACTGATACTTGAAAAATCTACTTAAGTACAGTAATGAAAAAAAACAAAACAACTTTGTTACTGTCTACCACTGGTAATTACTCTACTACTAGTAGAAAATTAATTGCAAAAATAATAGGTGTGTTCGACTTTGGCTGCGTCTGGCTTTAAACGATCTGTTAGATTTGCTGCTTGAAGTCAGGGAGTTGAAAATGGAGACGTGAAGTCAGACACTGCCCATAGTAACAAGTGGATTGAATGCAATATTTGTCAAATACACAGATGTTTCTTTTTAATTTTTTTCCCTTTTATAGGTTGTTTATTAGTATACAATCTTGTCTTTTTAATTTTTTTAAGCAAAGCAATACAGACTGATAAACAAGGAAAAATATGCTAGCTTACGAACACAAGAATACAGGAGGAAACAAATAAACAAGCAAATGGACAGGAAGAAGAAGAAAAAAAAGACAATGTAGATGAACATGCATACATATTAGGGGTGGGTGATATGACAAATCTTATATCACGTATGAGTAATTTTTTTCACAGAAATGATATATGTCGCAATATAGTTATTTTTACTTTAAATAAGGTCTTTATGATATAAAATCTTTGATACCATAGAAATTTCATAATTCTTGTCACCAGTGTCATTATCACAAAAAAACTAATACTAGCCTGAATAAAAAAAAAAAAATCTCAACCTCACTGAAGATGTCACGATCCGCTACTGTGAGGAGCACGGAGCGAGGAACGAGGAGACGTGGAGTAAACTTCAAACTAACAGACTTTACCATCCAAGGAACCAGGAACACACACGTAGTGGGGAAAGACGAACATTCAATACCAGACGCTAGACTTAGGAAAACACGGGGCTAAAATAATGGGACTTATAAAGGAAATTAACAGGAAACACCTGGAACAAATAATCATAATTGAACATGAGGGAAAACTGGGTCATGGCAGGCACATGGAGAGGGAAAAACACACATAATGAGTCCAGGGGCGTGACATATCGCCCCCCTCCCGGAAGGCGTGTCCTCGCGCCGTAGAATAACAAAGGGGGGGAACGGGTGGGAACTTAGGAGGAGGCTTGGGAGGAGGACGGACACCCAGGAGGGGGCCGGCAGACAGAGACCAGGGAGGTGACGATAAGGGGAGGAGCCAGGGAAGTGGCAGGAAAGGCCAAGCAGGACCCAGGCCACAGCCATGATGGCAACCCACGGTGGAGCCGACGGAGGGAGGAGCCATGGAGGAGGAAGGGCCGACGACTCCAGGGGGCCGACCAACAGCAGCGGAGCAGGTGGCGGAGGAGCCCGAGGCGGATACGGAGAGCTGATGAGCCAGGGCGATGGGGAGGATCCAAAGGGCCAAGGCGGAGCAGATGGCGCCGGCGACTGACGCGGAGGCGTGGATTCGAGAGGCAGCGGTGGAGCCGGAGCGACAGAGGACTGAGGAGGAGCTCTCTCTGGGCTCGAGGACTAGAGCCCTCTCTGGGCTAGACTCTGGGACTGGGTCTCTCCCTCTGCTGGACTGGGAAACAGGAGCCCACTCAGGGCTGGACGGGACCAGCGGGGACAAAGGAGAGAGGAGAGGGGGCAAATCGGTTTCCAGCTCTGTTTCCCAGTCTGTAAGGTCCCCCTCGAAGTCCAGCAGTCCCAGATGTATAATCAGCTCACTCTCAGTCGCGGTGCAGTGGGTGGAGCTCCACTCCACGCTCTCTCTGTTCGCGGCATTCTCCCTCTGTTGCCGGCTCTCGCACCTTGACTGACGTCACTTGCAGCTCGGGCTCTCCGTCAGCGGTGGGCTCGGGCATGCGCTCCGCGCAGTGAGG